TAACTTCTGCCAATTCATGACATAGCGGCAGAAGTTAGAATTCATGGGCTAGCCATTGGATCGGGTCCCAGTGGCTTAATGGTATACGAGCTCGCCTTGTAACCAGAAGGTCCTGGGTTCGAACCCTTGTGGTGGTTGCGTACTGATGAAGAGTCCCAAAATAGGGCGGAGGAAACAGCTGTCCAGTACCCCCAGCTGGTTTTCCAATGGTTCTCTAACTGTCAGCTCATGATGAAAATCCTGTAACTTATATGATTATTATTAGTATACCCTTGCTTCTCCAAAAGGAGATATGGACTTCAACAGCATGTCACTGGTTCATTCTACTCTCTACACTGTGGCTCCACAATCGTCCATAAACTTTCATTCCCTTTTTGTCACTTGATTTGTTCCAAAGTTACCGTTGGGCGCATTCCTAGCTCGTTGTTTCCCATTCAAGTTCCAGTTGATGGCGTACCTGGCGCATGTGATGTCACTCAACAGTTTCCTAAGCATGTTTGTCCAATCTGTCCCTATTTTCTTCGGCGTATCTCTCCCACCAGTTATGGTATATTCTATCCTGCAATTTGGCTTACTTTCTTGATTGCAGTTTATACTTTCAAGCTGATGATGAAACTACATCGATTGAGATGGCTAAGACATGTGTTGTGCATGCAGAGCCATCACCTTCCCTGTTGAGCAATGTAAGCTAACACAGGACTATGTCAGAAAAGAGTTAGGGATGGTTCATGAAGTCATTGACGATTAGTTTGAGCCACTTAAGGAAGTGTAACCTCCTGTCCTCAGGAGGCTAAGAACCAATGTATGGAAACAGTTGGTAATACAGCTAAAAGTCGTTGTCAGCTGGGTAGAGGCTTTCACTCTCTTTGATCCCCCATATCTATTCAATCATCTTTTTTTCATTTTTCTATCCTCTTCCTTTATATTTCTGCGTATTATTATTGTTCTTTTTCGATTCTAATTTTTTCTGTGATAAAAGTGACTGATAGAGTTCAGCCTGAACCAAACAAAGGGTTAGACACATGACACTAGTTCCTGACTAGTGTCCAATACAGTCCTACAGGAGGTTAATCGCGAGCCCAAATAGCTCAGCGGTAACGTCTCTGACTGAAGTACTCGGTGACGCGGGTTTGAATCTTCTCAGGTGGGATATGAGTCACTTCAGGGTTGCAGATACACCTTGTTGACTGGTGGGTACCATGCATCGGGATGGCACGCCACCTAGAATGGTAGGCACATTGCAAACTTGAATGGTAGAATTCCGTCTGCCCCAAAATAGGACTAAGCACATTACACTAGTTACTGACCAGTGTCCAGTTTCTCTTTGTGCATGTTTGTTTGCCATATGGATTGTGGAGATTGGAACTGCTACACTTCTGTGCAAAGTTCTTTACTAAAACTCAGTCAGTTAGATGACGTATTCTATGATCTGAATAGATTTTTTCTGTTTTTCCAGATGAAATGGTGATGACTTTTCACCTTGAACTGTGTGCACTTTATTTTTTTTCCTTCACGTTCACAGTGGAACATAGAGCTTCAAGCTAGAGGCTTGAAGTTTCTGTAGCGGTGGTTAGGTGTGCACTTTATAAAAATGGTAAATTTCATTCAACTCCTAACCTCCTCCTACTTTACAATGAATGAAAATGGCAAATGTAATTTATACGGTAGGCTAGGCTGTTCACTAAAGATCATAATTCATGTGGAGGGCATTTAAACAGTATTGAAACACTGCTGGCATATATATATCTCAGTGTAGAACGAATTTATGAATGCATAAAGCATATAATACAGAGTAATGATAATAAAAATATTAATAACAAATCGAAATCGTAATTTGCAATTGTATTTCTCAATTAACACCTTTCGAGGTGAAATTTAATCGCAGTTTCCTTCAAGAAACCAAAATTATTCAGATCACAGCTTGTGTGTAGCGTGTGCAATTTCTGTAGAGGTGTTTATTCCGCCGCATGATATATTCATATATAGTTGTATCCCTCACAAGAGCCTTTAATGTAAACTAATTCAGTATGCGTGCGTCGGTTGCACAGCGTATAGAGTGTTCACCGGCCACGCATGTGGCTGCAGGGTTTGATCATCGGCCACGGACGCACTCCTTTACCTCACTAAGCCAGTAATAAGATTGGTAAAGAGGGAGGAAGGTTGGGCATATGATGCTAGCAACTCCATCCTGTAAAAGAATCACCACTGCTACAGAAACTTCAAGTCTCTAGCCTCAAGCCCTATGTGCCCCTGGAAACGTAAAAGAATGAAAAAAATTCAGTATGCGCGCGAGTTCATCCAGTGGTCACTTGTTATAATTGCACGAATAAAATAATGCGGAATACTAAGAAGTTTAAGGATTTTGATGGATGAAAATTCTGATAGCTCAGTGATTTAAGCAGGCCACCGTCATAGAAGCAAGTTTGATGTACACATATATGTATTGTCCTGAAACTTTATCCTATGATAACTGACCAATCAGAAACCATTTAAATGTATCTGTGTTTGACACGGTGATCTTGGAAGATATCTACTCGATCACCAATTTATCTACGTATACATTCAAAACAACACATTTATGCGAACAATATTGTGTTTTCAATTAGATCTCACCAGGCTTATTTTTAATAAACATAACTTTACCAATAAAAATTCAAATATAAACCAATCATGGTGTTTTGTCTGTAGGATAATAAGATGGTGAATATAAATTGTGCAGTTAGTCATAATAATAGTAATGACAATAATAATACTGATGGTTTTATCAGTAACAAGGATGAAATTAGTGAGGTAACCTGCGATAACAAGAATAACTAAAAACAGCATGATCAAACAAACAAATATTAGGGCAGAAGTAGTGGTCGATAAAGGCTAGGAAAAACAAATGAACCGATTAAGTAATGCTAGATTGTAAGGGAAGTAAATAAACTATGTTTTATTGAAGATGTGTTAAGATTAAGGGATGTTAAGAGAGGGGTCGGGAAAGTAAGCGGTTGTGGAGAAGTCATCAGTTGGTCAAGGGAGATAATGGCGGTACAGATTTCTTTTGAATGCATTGTTTAGGCTTAATAGTTCGAATGCCTATCGCCTGCCTCAGCTGCGTGCAGTAGACGAATACTAAGTCTATTGGAAAGACTCGGTGGGATACGATGAATTACTCTCGTTTTCTCCACTACATAACCATTATCAATTAAATATCACAAAATTGAGCTACGGATTGTTTTTGTCTGTCCTTTGTCAAACCACGATGGGAGATGTTCACTAACACGTTGGCTAATCTGCCTAGTATATTATATATGTCCAAACCAAGTTCACTTTTAACAGTTTGAAAAAATTTGTGCATTGGCTATATGATATTCATTATAATAAAGGTTTTTGTATTTCCCAATGAATGAAAAAGAAAACGATATTGTTTTTACTGACGTTTCGCTATTTAATGCTGATAGTTTTATCAAAGTATTGTTAAACCAGAATTTACAAAATCTCAGCATATATATAACAAAGAGTTAAGAGGTAAGAAAATAGGACATATTGAAAGTCAGAATAACAATGAAAATCACTAAACCAAATAACAGAGGTAATAGTACATCTGTTATGGTATCAAAATAAAGTTTACTAACGTGATCATCGGTCGTCAGTATGGGGTCATTTTTCGTTGTCAAGTTGATCAATTGGTAAAGATAACAAAACCAGGTGTATATTGTTTGATTTGATAAGTGTGTAAAATGATAAAAGCAGCGTGCGTTCACACAGTGAAATTGCTTATCACATTCCTGTTGACTTCATCATTTCATCGGGGACGGCAGGGTGTTGTAACCAGGTCAAATTTTGTTTTAGTCCATCATTCCCTTTCAAATAATTTGGATTCCATTTGATATGAAGTGCTTCTGATATTAGACTTTCTTTGTGATTTCTGAAGTTTTTCTGGATTATTTCAATATTATCAAAATCAGTTTTGTGGCCTGATTCTATAGCGTGTAGATAGATCTATGGCTGATGATTTTTCAAGCTTTTCTAGTTCAACCGGATTTCTCGGTAGTCGAACAGAAGCTCTACGGTGTTCATTACTTCCGATTTTGATTTCTTGAGATGTTTGTGCAATGTATTTAGCATCACATTCCAAGCATTCTATTTTATAGACACAATTAGATAGAGAATCTTTAGGGATTCGGTCTTTTATATGGACAAGGTTGTTTCGTAGTGTGTCTGATGTTTTGAAGAAAACTCCGAAGCCTGGTATATTTTTTTACTTTATTGTAGCTTGACTCCACACAGTATTTTTGATACAAGTATGGAATTTTCAGCTATGTGATATTCGTAGCCCAAATTTAGCAGGCTGACCACTGATGTCAAGTGTACGTCGGTTGGGGATCGAACCCCAGACCATGTGCACGGTCACCGAGCGTCCTAACCTCTGTGCCACCGACGGATAGTAATACGCCCAACATAATTGTGACAACACGTGCAGTTGAATTGATAAATGCATATAGATGTGGCAAAACTATCTAGCTTATCCTTCATTTACATTCGAATTATTCGTCGGCTAGAGAATGAAAAACATAATTTTGCTACGTAAAACGTTCTTGGTATACTCCAGGAAAGTCTCTGGAATAAAATCTCACTTGATAATTCACAATTATTAAAAAAAACGGTTGAAGCGAAGAAAATTTTCTTCTCAACGAAGTCATCAACTAGGCTGTACATTCCATGTATTTATATTAAATATGTGAGAAAGTTCCAGAATTATTTCTCGTCAGAGGTGTAATAAACAGAAGATAGGTAGTAGCACTATTCTAGAAGTATTGTATTTCAGGTCAAAGGTCAAATTCACAATTAAATTGTAACTTAATAAACAGCTCCTCAGTTAAACCAACCAGCTCAGAGAACACAACTAATTGCAAATAGAGGTTGTTTTATTTTTGTTTACATTGTAAAAGTGTCATCACTCTTTCTTCCCCTCCCATTTATTTTGTTGTTTAAAACTGTTTTTCTCTCTCTAGGCACGTGAAGAAATACGCATTCTGGAGACACTAAGAGATATGCGTGAATCCTATGGGAATGGAACAAAAAATCGTTATGATTTTCCTGTGATACACTTATATGAATATTTTACATTTCGTAAACATATTTGTATGACATTTGAACTGCTCAATATTAATTTATATGATCTGCTCAAGTTGAATAAATTTACTGGCCTTCCAAGAGATCGTGTTCGACGTATCTGTTTTCAAGTATTAAAAGCATTACAATTTATTCAAAAGGCAGGTATTATACATTGTGATTTAAAACCAGAGAATGTACTACTTGTATGGCCACAATCACCAGAAAGTGAGAACAATTCGACTACCACTCATAATAATCCTCATAATCATAACCATCATTCTGGTTATCAACAAAAGTATCAAAATCATTCAAATAATAATAGTAATAATAACAATGATTCAGTATCAAATTTACGTTCAACTTATTATAGTGGTGCAGAACAAAAAGATTATGTAAAGTTAATTGATTTTGGATCAAGTTGTTTTCGTAAAGGTCAACCCTATCCGTATATTCAGTCAAGATTTTATCGTGCACCAGAAATTCTACTTCGTCTAGGTTATGATGAAGCAATTGATACTTGGAGTTTTGGTTGTCTTATCGCTGAGCTAATCAATGGTAAGTTAGCCAGTTTTTGTGCCTTTTTTTAAAAAAACTTCTCTCTTGTTTAAAACAATTTGTCCCTTTTATAAATCTGGATAGCGTTATAAGAAGACGGAGATTATCTGAAAAGGTATGTGTTGTATTTGCGCTATACATTTCGACCAATCTGATCACACATTTACTTGTCAAGTCGATATATATGAAAAAAAACTAAGGGCAATTAAATTAAACAAGTGAAAAAGAAAGGATTTAAGAATGATTAACACAACGTTTAGTAATCCAATCAAATAAGGATTACCAAGGTAGGTTAAGAGTAATAATAAACTGTTTTTGAATACACAGGGGGGGGGGGGCTTAAGTTTATGAATAGCTATAGCCTCAGCGTATTTCAGTAAGCGCCCTTGACCGTTTTTATAGATGACCTTAAAGGCTGAGTTAACATCAATCTTATGGTTCATCTCGATTAGGTGTTTAGCTATAGACGAAGTTGGTAGTCCGACACCTACATCTATTAGTTTTTCATAGTTCATTTGTTTTTCTAGCCATTTTGGGATATGCTCTCCCACCCTCACATGCAAAGTGCGATTACTCCTCCCTATGCTTTCAACAGTGCCATCGCCAGGCATCTCCTTGACACGGGTCATGAGGTAGACGTCACAAAATCGTTCAAAATTATCAATAGGCAAAAGAGCACAATTCTTCTCAAGTTTGCTGAAGCGCCTGAAACCTGATTTATGCATCCAGAAAGAAGCGGTTATCAGTTTTTCTTTTCCCTGGTAACTGGATATTTTCATCGCTCTTTCATCTGAATGTGTAGTGCCGAAAATTTCCATTTGAGTATGATCATTATTGTTCGGAATAGTGTTTAATATTACATATATATATATATATATATATATATATATATATATAATTACTTGATGCATACAGGGATTGATTGATTTTTGTTTAAAAATGAACTCTGTGCAAGTATTTTCAGATTGTTTCTGCAGATTTATTTAATAGTGACTTTAGCCTAGAGGCAGCTGATGAGAAGGCAGCGAAATAAGTGTTTGTACCACTTTTTTCTCCAAAAACTGTAGTTCTTGCTTTATTCAAATTCGTTAAGGGGAATAAATGTATGAAATTCCGGTCAGTTGGTCAGTGGATCAAGATAAATCACACCTATCGAGATCGAGGTAACCAAGTGACATCACTAGCTGTTATACGGGATGGGAATTTCATCCCATTGGGGATTCATCAGCTGGTGAATGTGCCTTTATTCCCAAATTGGGTGATGGTGTTCGGAGTTTGAGTCTCAGTTGGAGCATAGTCACTCACTGAGGATTGCAAGTACATTTAGCTGAAGAAGAGAGAAACAAAACAGCACAAAAAAAGAAAGGAAGAAAACGTTGTATCTATAAATGATATGAGTTGGAAAGAAGAGATTCAAATTGTTCTACCGACTATTTAATAAGTTATAAGTTTCACGCCTATTGCTTTCTTTATCACGCAGAACACGAGCTAAGTAGAGTATGGTTGAGTTTTTGTACTTGCTGGTGCGAGCGTATAGTTTCCCATATAGGCTTCTGGTTTTACCTGATGAGATGCAAGGGGAGAGCTGTGAATGAAGAGGGTGGTGTGAGTTAGATAGAATGGATTTAGCCCATTTTTCACATGAGTCCAAGTGCCTGTCGACCAGAATATTAACAGGCTGGTTACGTGGCACGTTGCTTACCGTGCTGACAACCTTTAACACCCTGCGTAATAAGATATAGTCCTTCTTCAGTAGCCCTGGAAAAACTAAGGGGGGGGGGACAATAGAGTATAATAGGCAGGATGCAGGAGTTAACGAATCGTAGGAGTAAGGGTTGGGTTATTCCAGAATGTCTTAACTTCTTGATGTAGGAGGTAAGACGGAATATTTTCTTAGCAATCATCAAGATATGAGACGACCAGGAAAGATCAGCAGATAGAATGAAGCCAAGATATTTAATTGTCGACTTGGTCTCTGTTTCAGTGCCATCTATGTTGCACACCTCGTGAGTGCTGACCAGTTTGTTTAGGTCAGATTTATGCCTGAAGGTGAAATTGACTGTTTGGCATTTAGAGGGATTTAAGGCAAGACCGTTTCCCTTGGACCACAGGCTTATTTCTGATAAAAGCCATTTAGTTTAGAGCAGTCACTTTGACATTTGACAGGCAAAGATACAGTCAGATCGTCAGCATATTTAACAAAATTAATGTCATTTGAAGATGGTAAGTCATGAAGAAAGAACGAAAGAAAAGAGAAGTGGGGAGAGTACAGCAGAGTACAGCACAGAATGTCTGTTTTCTTTTCCCAATTTTGCCTGGTTTCCACATGCCCATCTGTGCCATCTGTATTTGAAACGATGCTGCCTTCATAAATGAAAGCGACGACTTTCTTGTAGATTCCTCCCCTTCATAGTGATTCGTTGCTGTTGGTGCTGGTGAATGGGGTATCTTCGTCACCTTTGTCTTTTCTATGTTCACTTGAAGTCTTGTGTTTTTTGGCAGCCTCTTCTGCTTACTTGTTGTTTTTTATTCATAGATCTCCTAGTTTGCGTTACACCAGGCATAAATCTTCGTCGAAGTCCAAATCTTCTGGGTTTTTCTTGTCGGTCCAGCTTATACCTCTGTTCTTGCTCCACATGTCCTGTTGCTTGGCCCAGTGTGCCGCAATCAGGAATGTCATCAGTCTTAGAAGACAGCCTTGTCATACACCTGTCTTCATTTCAAAGGCTTCAATGAGTTCCTCTTTAGGAATCACTTGACACGTGGCATTATCATATAGCTGTTGAATGAAGTTGATATAAAGGTTTGTAGCATTTGGACTCCTTATTATTGAAGCTAATTCAAATTACTACTATTTATTGGTAATAAGTAGTATAAATTTATCGTGTAAAACATGTAAATGTTCATCAAGGAAGTAGTCGCTGGAATAGCTAGAAAATGTCGATCCTGAAAACTGTACATCCTGACTTTCCTTGCGTCGGTCCTTAGTCGGTAGCATGATTTTAATACGGATTCAATTCCAATAACCAATTCAAACAGGTCGTGTGCCTTAGGCAGTTGCCCCTTGGGCTCTCTGGTCACGCAAAACCGGTGCTGTTTCTGTTTTTTAGGTGCTCCAAGAAAAATTCAACCTTCATTGTTTGAGTAACCGATACAACCGCCCACAAGCTTCTGACCAACGCTTACCTTTTCCATTCTAGTGCTCCACTACTAGCTACCACTAAGTATACAAGTAATTTATGTGTCCTCCCACTGAAATTATCAGTCATTTCAGGCAGTGTAAGACTTTTCCCGGAGGTAACTAGAAGTCGTATCGCTTATGTTCAGTTTGTTCATAATTTTTATTTCAAGTTCGATCACGGATTGATGTTAGCTAGAAAACTATCGTAAACTAGCACGAAGTACTGGACAGCTGTTTCGTCCTAGCCTGGGACTCTTCATCAGTACGTACCCACGACCTCACCTAGGATTGAACCTGGGACCTTCAGGTTAAGAGTCTAGGCTTGCAAACTGATAGAGGTTAGAATTCATGGGTCATAGGATCGGGTTTTGGGTGCGTATTGCTGAAGAATCCCAGACTAAGGTAAAGCAGCTGTCCAGTACTCCGTGCTGGCTCTCAACGTTTCTCTAACTGACATCAATCTGTGATCAAACTTGAAATAAATCACATCCCTGCAGACAAACTTTTGAAAAAAAATAATCTCTGTGTTGCAATGGTGGATTACTTCTCTCACTGACTGACTGGCTGGGTGACACTCGTTTACTTTTTATTTGTTTTTACTTGTTAGGCTTACCCTTATTCCCCGGAGAAGATGAAGCTGATCAAATGGCATGTATTATGGAAGTCCTCGGTCTACCGCATCCAACACTATTACGTCATTCATCACAAATCGATCGTTACTTTATTGAATATAAATGTGATAAATTGAAACCGTCAACACTGGAGGCGTATGATAAAATAGGCGTAAGAGTGAATAAAGACTCTGTCTACCTACCACGTTATTGTTCAATTCGTTATTCAATGGTTGACAATTCACCACAACTGTTACCAGGTCTTTCAAAACGCGGTGGACATGTTCGTGGTATCCCTAATAGTATGCCATTATTACAAGCTATTACACAGTCAAGACTACGTCGTTATAAGCGTAAAGATACACGTAGTGTAAGTAATCTAACGACAACAGTGAATCATGCTGGCGGGGGGCATAAAATGTCCGAAGAAGAAGAAGCCTATATGGATGAAGATAATGAATTGGTTGTCAATTTAGTCGCTTCATGTTTATCTTGGTTACCGAATGAAAGAATCCAGTCGAATAAAGCAGTTGTTCATTCATGGTTCAATCATTTCTATCATAATCATAATAAAAACAATAGTAGTAATAATAACAATAATAATGGTAACAATGGTAAATCTCATACAGGATTTCGTTCCCCCTTACGTGTAAGAAGTATGGAAGTGTCGAAATTTGTTTCGTCGAAATTTATGAATGAACTTAGCGAACGTCAACTGATTCAAGATTATCGTAGTAGTCGGGAGTCATTAGGCAAAGACACCATGATGTTAAGCAAACCTGAATTAGGCGGAGGAGGAGCAGGAGGGGGAGGATTACGTAATCATGGCCAACAAAAAGGCTCACGATTAAATATGAACACTAGTCATTTGTTTAATCTAGATGTTACTGGGAATAATGCTTCTTTGAATGATTTAACGTCAGTGAGAAATTCATTTATGATTGATGCACAGGTTAGTCCAATCACTGTAGAGGAGGTTAAGTTAGCCCAACGTAATTCTCAGATTACTATTGTACCACGTGTGCCTGTACAAAATCAACAAATCAACCAGTCGGATTATTACAGTAATACTCTAGGTCTATCAGATTCACAGATAATCACTTCAATAAAAGATTTGTCACAACCAGTACTATCGCAACCACAACCACAAACAACAGCAACAACAATGTCGGCGACAAAGCTCAATCTAACATCTTCTAGTTCATCTTCATCATCACTGTCGGTGTCTTCGGCTGCAGTTCCTGCTACTGCTTCAGCTAGTGGACGAGTTGCACTGGTTTATTCATCAAGTAGTAATAATAATAATAGTAACAATAGTAATAATAACAAAAATGGTAATATTGAGTCTGGAAACAATCGAGATGGTCGATTATTGGCTGCTACTACTCTCGCTAATACCACAAATGCTGTTACAACGAGTAATCAGAATACCAACAACAACAACGCCTGTGATGATATAACCATTGCTAACACATATAACAGTTTATTTAAACTGACTGATAACACGACTGTCGGGGGTTATAGAAGCAGCGGTAGGAGTAGCAGCAGCAGCAGTAGTAGTAGCAGTTCTGGAAGTTGTGGTGCTGGAATTAACTACACCAGTGTCAACGACATTAAACATCAGCATCAACACCAACACCAACAACAACAGTCATCTTCACCGTTATCTTTTCATCCTCCTTATAATGCCCCAGGGATTCTCACCTCTTTGAATGACAAGAGCTCAAAAGGTAATCTACTATTAAAATCATATCCAACAGGTTACACAAAACCTGATACAATCTATCAAAGTAAAATGATCCTGGATCGTAATATCACTAGTAATACCAATCATAATGACAGTAATGGTATTGGTATAGTTAAACCAATCTCAGGATATATTGTAAATACTTATACTACTCATGATCCGAATAACAGTAGTAATAATATGGGTAATAATCATAAAACGAAAATAATCACTGACACGGAATCCTCATCGGATAGTCCAACATTATTGATCACAACTGGTGGTGGTGTTGGTGTTGGTGGTGGTGGCGGGTATTGTTCAGCCTCTGAGTCAACACCGCATTTACCAAGCCTAATGAAATTAAACGCTAACTGCACAAATTCACCAATATCTAAGATCATTAATCCATCAAATCGATACTCTTATTCAAATCTACACCAGCCATCAGTGCAACCAACACTAGCGACATCATCGCAGGTACAAGCACCGTTCATCTCATCGTTAAGGATAGATAAACCATTGAATAACAGTATGCATAATATTGTGAATAGATCAAAAATGAAGTTATCCTATGATAATCAAGGTGATGATGATGATGGTGATGATCAGAGTGAATTATCGATCAATAATGATGGAGTTAAGAAACGCTATTCTGTACCATCACGTTCAAGATTGATTGATATACCGCAGAGTGAATATGAAATACCAATCACTGGGAATACTAATACTACTACTAATAACAATAATAGTAGTAGTGCTGGTAGTATGAATGATCGTTATGCTAAACAAGATCTTCATTTTATACCAGTGACATCGAATGCTTTCTCATCGATAACTTTAACGTCTAGTACTTTCTCTCCGTCGTCTAACACAGTGACATTATCGTCACCGCGTAACACTACCAATCCGAATGGTCCTAATCTTTTGCACAATTTCAATACAAGCAATACACCATTACACAATAATAATAACAATAATGGTAATAACAATAACGCATCTTATAAATATCCTAGTCCACTTTCGTATCAACGAGAATCACACCAGAGTCAATTAGGCGGAAGCAATGGTTCACAGTACCCTCAAGAACAACCACGTCGTTATATTGCTACGAATCGATTTTCCAGTGGTAATTCAACTTCAATTACGCCTAATAATACCATCGCCAATATGAATAATTATAATAGTAATAATAACAGTAGTAATTATCGTAAATTATCGGATTTCCCTAAGCCTTCTATGGAGTATATTAACGCCTATGATCAAGTTAAAAATAACGATATAATTGTATACAAGAATCCCACGAATGGTTATCCTGCACAATCTGTTGGCAGTACAGCTACACTGCCAGAAATTGCTCCAAAACCTTTAAATCGTACAAAAATGTTATTATTAAGTAATAATAATAACAATAATGGTACTACTAGTACTACTTATAATGATAATGGCAGTAGTAAGATAATCTATGATACGCATAATTATGAACCAAGTAATCCAATGAAATGGCGTTTGCATAAATCCTCAGATAGCGGTAGTAATAATTCAACTAATCTATATGCTCCACAACCTTATAGTCAACCGAATATGAATGAATCAGCCTCACAGAATGCTCACAGGATGATTACTCAACGTTTACCTCAACATAGTAATAATAATCATAATAATAATAGTAATAATGGCAGTATGAATTGTATAAACAATACTAATGGTTATGTTGATCAAGTTCAACCATATTACACATCATAGGCAACAATTTATTCGAATTCGCGCCTGTTTTTTGTTTTTGAACACACATAAATATTGAAACAATGATCATAGTTGTACACATGTTTTATTTTAATGAATGAAAAAATCAATGAATTTCTTTGATATACATACATGCACATACACACACATAAATGAGCTTCTATTTACAAAACGATGCAATATTGCACAGTATTACAATAGATTCCCAGTGTGCATGTGTGTGTGGTTTTGTGTGTACACATTAGCAATGTGAATGTAAAAAGTACTGCTTAGCGAAAGTTACACCTAACTATTCGACCCCCTTCCCTCTCCAACCACCAGAAAATTCCTTTTTTCTCTCTTTTATTCCTAGAATTAAAATTATGCGTGTGATGTATTCATTAGTTAGTGATAAACATTTGTAAACACTTTCAATATAGGTACTTGTAGGTAATATTTCCCGTTATCGCGTTTGTTTGCTTGTTTGTGTTTTTCTATACTAATATTTAGGTTTTATCTCTAAGATACCATTCTTGTAGGAGAGTAGTTTCAAAAAAGAGAAAATCTATATTGAGGAGCTGTTTTCACATTTTGCCTTTTATTCAATCCGGTTTTCTCTATCCATTTGTGTTTTTGTAGCAGGGAATGTGTGTTTGCGTTTGACTTTCTTTGTAAGTCCGTCAGTAGGGTCAATCAGTGTGCGCGTGTGTTTCTGTATGTGTTGAATTGTAGATATTCGGGTCAAACGAAAGGCTTTCACATATGACCACACCGTCTCTATGCCTCTTCAAATCAAAAGTTTGTAAGATTACAAATATATTATTATTACTATTATGTAACAGAAATCCTGCTAGATTTCAACTCAAATTTGCTGAAATAGCTTTTCTGATTTCTTCACTATATTTTTGACTTTAAATGAAATTAATAATTAATAAATAATAATAGTGATTATAATGTCTTTCAAATAATTTTATTTAGTTTCTTCATATATACATATATTTCATTCTTATTTGATTTTCTTTTTCTTTCATTTAGCGCCTATCTTTTCTTCATAAAAAAAGTTTAAATTTAGCGCTTTTTTGAATTTTTAAAAATGGCGGTAATTTTCAAATGCATATATATTGAACAGTTTAAACAATTAGAAAATAAATGGCAAAGAATAATAACAATAATATAGCTAGGTAGATAAGGCGTGATAAATCCACAGTTGACTAAAGTAATAAAAAACTTTTGTTTATGTACAATGGTTTTATTTATTTCTTTCGATGACTTTTATTCATCATGGATTGTGCTTTTTGTATCTCTATACGGTCGTACTTTGATCCATCCTCATTTGATAGAAGTTGTGGATCCGTAGAAGTGATCGTTGTTTAACAAATTGAAGCAATATTCTTCAGTTAGTCAGTTGAGCTGCGTATATGCATAGTCTTGCTGAAAGTATAGTGTGATTATATATATGTGAATTTTATTCACTTAAAATACACGTTATTTCTCTTTTTGGTCAGTTTGATAAAGTTTTTTTCGTGTTTGAGTTTTCCCACTTCTTGTCTCCCATCTCGTTTTTTTAATAAAAGTAAAATTATTTTTCAATAGATGAATAAACACTGATAAATAAATATTTAAAAGAAATATTGTCAGTGCTCAGGAGTTAAACGTGTTTGTTCATTAAGTTTTTATGTTATCTAACATCTTATTGTTATGCGTTGTTCAATCTTCACACACGAATGTGTGAGGCTAACAGTAATTAAACGCTTGATTATTTTGCTAGTAGACCTTCCCTTGCATACCCAACTGGTAAGTTTTAAAAAAAAGACTCACAAATAATATTGGAAAGGTGTATTTCTAAACGAGTAAGTGAGTGGAGGTTTTATTAAAAAAACATGCAGTGACATTGATTATACAAAAAAGTATCATGGACTGACTGTATGCTGTAAGATCGGGCAGATTAATGATTGGCTATCCATGTGGTGCAATTTGATTGGTCGATTATCTGATCAATATGAGTGCATCTTTTTGAATTCTGACTGACAGACTATCGTGCTAGTAGTTTGTAGTTACACAAACCACATCTTCATTGCGAGCTGCAGTATACGGTTTATTAGAGGAATTGTTCAATTCATGGGGATTTAATTAAAACCTAGATAGTATTCGTTATTATCCAATATCAATTAGGCAGCTACTCTAAATAAAGACTAGAAATTTGCTTTTTTTCTCCAGTCAGAAGCTGTCAGTTTCGGTGAACATTGAATGAGAAACGTATAGTTTATGTTTATTCAAACTGATTTCCATTTGAAGGGAAACAACAATGGCGTCTGTGGCCCAATCGTACTCTGGTTGTCCGAAAACTCTAAAAAATGATTAGAAGTATTATTGTGATTTATTTAGACGTGTGACTCAAGATCAGATGGTCAGAAAAGATCAGCAACAGAGATCTCTAGAAGCGAACCAACCAGGAAAAGATTGTGAAACAAATAGGCAGGAAGAAATGGAGATGGATTGGCCATACTCTGAGGAAACCATCAAGTGACATCACTAGACAAGCCATCGCTCGAGTGGAGCCCGAAAGGGAAGCGGTGAGTTGGTCGTCATTGCAAGGGTGACTTGGAAGAGGTCATGTGAAGAGGAAATGAAAGCGTGTGGGCAGACTTGGAGCCAGGTGAAGACTCTAGCAGATAGCCGAATGCAATGGAGACGCATGGCTGAAGCCCTATGTTCCTCTAGGAATTAAAGGAAACAATAATAATAATTTAGACGTGTATTTATAGACTTTCTACTTTGTAACCTTGTAAATCTGGTTCATTGTCGGTGAAAAAATGAAAATAAATGAAAAAATTGGAAGTCCATTTTCTGATATTCTCGCGTTGGTAACCGCACACAGTAATCTGAAGAACCGATTAGTCTTCTGAAGCCAACGCTAGGTTCAGGATCCTTTCCCATCTGGGGAATTGAATCGTGGCTCAAAGGTATATATGATCTCTTGGGAGTACACGACCTACTGTTTATACACTGCTCCATCAAAAGACATGACAGGGCATTGGTTGAGCTGCAGGATGATACTGTATACAGTTGTGGTCTTGTAAGATGCTGTGATGAGTGTGTTTAGTTGTCCTGATCACCCATTGTATAATTCCCCAGTCAACAGGTGCATTATTATGTTTCTGCTTATTGTGAGCGTCAAAGGTTTAATAGTAAAATCCATATGATTCGGATTCGAATTGGTGAACCTTGCCTAATTTAATAACTGGTAGTATGCCCGAAAAGCGAGAAGGTTAATTGTCAGACTAGCAACCCCGCCTTGTGAAATGAAACAACATCATCGCTTCTGAAACTTCAAATCTCGGAGATCTAGGTTCCACATGGAACGGAAGGAATGCATAATTACAATACTGAATGGTAATATCATGCATTATTTTCGTTAATGGTGGCTATCAGTGAAATCTAGGACGCTCATTTCTTCCTGTTTGTGTGAGACTACTTAGATTGATGTGCCTGCAACCGCAATGAGCGATGGTAAACCCAATGAGCAAAATTTAAAAGTAGCTAGTAATTGAACTACACACAATGAGCAGTGATTGGATGTCAAGCTGTTGATCTCGTGTTCTCTATCCTTGCTTCATTGCCTAGAATGATCATGAAGAAGATAACCACTCTGGTAAGACTGATGTCCAATATTCTTAGACTGTCAACAGTTCTACAGATGATGGAGTCAGCCAGGTGACGAAAGCTACTGCTAGCATTAGTGGAAGATTACCAAATACTGAAGAAATTATTAAAGTGAAAACAATAGGATTCTGTGAGTAATAATAATAATTTGCTTTATTCCAGAAACAGTACTAGTGGTACAGTGTGGAATTTTCAGCACATATCTACAATATTTGCATCTAATTTTATCCAACTTTTAAAAGGAGTATTTCAAAAAATAAATATAAAGACAACAACAACAAAAAAACAAAAATAATTTTAAAAAATGCGAAAAAATACCAAGCAGTAGAAAGGAAAATTAACAACATAAAAATAATATCTCAGTATTGGGTAGTGAAAGCTATGATATGATTATGCATGGTGACAGTAAAGCTATAGTCATACAAGAAGTTATGAAATGATATTCAAGAATGTTTATCGCCAAGATGATCAGTTAATTTGGTTGAAACAACTCTAAACAATCATAAAATAACATTTCAGGGTTGTTGTTTTGTTTTTTATTGTCAGGTCTAATGCAGTGTTTGTGGTGGTAGTGTGAGTAATCTTGCATAATACAAAATTTTAAGATGGTGATAATGGCGTTCACAACCAATAATTGTCATTTAATATCGCCGAAGAAAATAAAAAATGAAAAAAACAGCCAAAAAAACTAATAATTACATGATGGTTAATGACAGGACAATTTTGTACTACTCATAGAGCTAATATAGTCGGAACCAGTAGATACTCAAAAGAAGGAATAGAGTAAAGTACAAAAAAGTAAGCCAATGTTAATAATTTAGGTAGCTAAGTATGTTTAAGAAGGAGTTCACTATAGAATACAAAATAAGAGAGAAATAAAAGAGCCTAAAATTATGTTATTAACAACAAAGCAAGTCATAGGTTTCGCACTTAACATTGTCTCTGTCACTTAGAACACAGGCCAAATATGGTATCGTTGAGTTCCTGTACTTGGTTGTACGAGCATAGATTATTTTATACTGATTTCTGGTTCTGCTTGATGAGATACAAGGCGAGAGTTGAGAATAGAGGGGGTGTTGGAGGTCGGAGAGTATGATTTTAGACCATTTTTCGCATGTATTCAGATGCCTTTCTACTAATGTAGTGACGAGCTGACTGAGTTTTACACCACTAGTCCTACTAACTACCCTTCAACATCCTTCTCAGGATGGCATAGTCCTTTTTCAGTAACCCAGGAAAGACTAATGGGGAGCAGTAAAGTAGAATAGGTAAGATACAAGAGTCGAGAAATTGTGAATGTAGAGGTTGGGTGATTCCAGATTGTCTAAGTTTCTTAATGTATTAGGTTAGAGAGAACA